CCCCCCCCACCCCTGCTCCCAGTGCCCCAGCAGCCCCTCCCCCTTAGGCTTCTCACCTGGGCCTTCTCTTCGCCCTCTGGCTGGCCTGAGCCCCATGGGCCATGTTGCAAAGTGTCCAGGCTGCTGGGCTGGTCACACCTGGCCCTCTGCAACACAAACACCTCATTAAACATGCAGCATGCCGGGGAAACTGAGGCAGGCACCACACTCACGCCAGGCATCAAGAAAATCCCCCTTCCTCGCACACGGCCTCTGTGCAGCCCCCTAGATCTGACTATCTAGTGGATCTCTGTGCATTGACGGGGTGCAAGGGGGAAATGGACAGCGGGGGTGCACGGATTGAGGGTACATAGGGTTCATGGATTATGGGGGTGCAGAGATTGCAGGGGTACATGGGGTGCACGGATTGCGGAGGTACATGGAGGTGCGGGGATTGCGGGGGTGCGCGGCCAGACAGCCCCATAGGGCGGCTCTAGGGGCTGCTCCCTACAACCCAGACTCCCACACACGTGGCGCACCAAAGCCAAGGGCGGAAAGCGCCTGATCTGGCTTCCAATCACAGCCTCTCTGCTCTTCGCACGGACCAATCAGCGGCCAGGACAGGAACCGCGCATTTCAACGCCCTGACCGAGAAAGCTGCCTGGGTTGCAAACCTACCGAGGGGAGGCGGGACGTTCTCTCATGCACCAATAGGAGAACAGAAAGATGTGGGATGCCGCAGCTGCTTCTCTGCAGGAGAAGGGGCATTTTGCTTTGGTCTCCACATCAGCTGATCCTCCCAGACTAAGGATGTTAAATTGTGGTTCATTGACTAGTCAAGTTGCCTCCCTGTTTCAAAGGGGCAGCACCAGGGAGGGCTACGTCTACACTACTATGATTTTCCGGAAATACTTTTAATGGAAAAGTTTTCTGTTAAAAGCATTTTCGGAAAAGCGCGTCTAGATTGGCACAGACACTGTTCGCAAAAAAGCCCCAATCGCCATTTTCGCAATCGGGGCTTTTTTGCGGAAAACAAATCTGAGCTGTCTCCACTGGCCCTTTTATGCAAAAGTTTTTCGGAAAAAGACTTTTGCCCAAACGGGAGCAGCAGAGTATTTCCGCAGAAGCACTGACAATCTTACACGAGATCGTCCGTGCTTTTGCGGAAATTCAAGCGGCCAGTGTAAACAGCTGGCAAGTTTTTCCGGAAAAGCAACTGCTTTTCCGGAAAAACTTGCCAGTCTAGACACAGCCCCAAGGTGCAGACACCTCTGGGGTGGGATGCCGCGGCTGTTTCTAACCAGCTCTCACCACAGCTGCTTCTCTGCAGGAGAAGGGGCATTTTGCTTTGGTCTCCACATCAGCTGATCCTCCCAGACTAAGGATGTTAAATTGTGGTTCATTGACTAGTCAAGTTGCCTCCCTGTTTCAAAGGGGCAGCACCAGGGAGCCTGGGGTGAGCTGGGGACTCCAGCTGACCCCAGCTCCACCAGCATTTTAAAGGGGCAACACCGGAGGCAGCAAGGGCGGGGAATTGACCAGTCCTTAACATCCTTATCCCAGACCACACTCGCCTGCTAGTGCCTGCTCTGCATGGCCTGGCTCTGGGGCCTTGTTCAGTGGGGTCGGCTCTGCCAGCTACAGCCTGGATCCCCACACCGCGCTCCCTGCCAGGGCCTGACCCTGCAGGGCCCCAGGGCAGGGAGACCTGGTCCCGGGGAGAGGGGTATCTCCTTAGCAGTGGGGGCACAGCTGCAAGCCCGGGGCTGAATGCTGAGGCTCTGCTCCCCTCCCTGATCCAGGCCCCCTTCAATCCAGCTCCCTGCAGGGCCGGGGGGCTGAGGTGAAGATGTCACCTCCCCCAGGGAAGGGACGGCGCTCTGGGTGGGCGCCCCATGGCTCCAGCAGGAGAGACAGCTGGCATGGGCCAGCAGCGCCACGCTGGGGACCAGCCCGCTGTCCCCCCCGCCCCACCCGCATGGGGACCCCAAGGAGGAACTGCACCCCGAGGGCCCCCAGCAGAGCCCAGCGTCCCTGTCACCGGGTCAACAGCCTGCAGGAGTCAGGACTGTGGCTCCATCAGCTCTGTGCAACCCCCCCGGGGGTCCCCTCTCCCTGGGCTTAGGGGCTTTGGCCCTGCTGCCTCCTGGAACCGCCCTCGGGGCCACCAGCCCCCGGCTCTGCCCCTCGCTCCGTATCCAGGGAGCGATGCCCCCCCATTGCCTGCAGTGATGGCGGCCGGCACCCCAGGCAGGTTTGTCGTACGTCTGGGCACGGCCCAGGCAGCTCCCCAGGGCTCAGGCCAGGCCAGTCGCACCATGGCCCCAGGGTCTGGCCCAGTCCATGGGGCTCCGGGTGCTCCTTGCCCCCAGCCCATCAGTCCTCCACCGACCACCATAAACCCCTGACCAAGCCCTGAGTGTTCTTACACACCTGACCTTCTCACCTGGGCCTTCTCTTCGCCCTCTGGCTGGCCTGAGCCCCATGGGCCATGTTGCAAAGTGTCCAGGCTGCTGGGCTGGTCACACCTGGCCCTCTGCAACACAAACACCTCATTAAACATGCAGCATGCCGGGGAAACTGAGGCAGGCACCACACTCACGCCAGGCATCAAGAAAATCCCCCTTCCTCGCACACGGCCTCTGTGCAGCCCCCCAGATCTGACTATCTAGTGGATCTCTGTGCATTGACGGGGTGCAAGGGGGAAATGGACAGCGGGGGTGCACGGATTGAGGGTACATAGGGTTCATGGATTATGGGGGTGCACAGATTGCAGGAGTACATAGGGTTCCATGGATTGCGGAGGTACATGGAGGTGCGGGGATTGCGGGGGTGCGCGGCCAGACAGCCCCATAGGGCGGCTCTAGGGGCTGCTCCCTACAACCCAGACTCCCACCCACGTGGCGCACCAAAGCCAAGGGCGGAAAGAGCCTGATCTGGCTTCCAATCACAGCCTGTCTGCTCTTCGCACGGACCAATCAGCGGCCAGGACAGGAACCGCGCATTTCAACGCCCTGACCGAGAAAGCTGCCCTGGGTTGCAAATGTTCCGAGGGGAGGCGGGACGTTCCCTCATGCACCAATAGGAGAACGGAGAGATGTGATAGGCAGGTGGGTTCGCCAATCAGGTCGCGTGTATCTCGACACAGCTGGTTCCTCGTCGCCCACCAGCAGGGACCCAGGTTCGGATCCGCCTGGCCTGGGGGGCGGGACGTGGGGCAATCACGTGCCTTCGCCCGCCCCTTGGGGGGAAGGCGCGCGGGACGAGCTAGGGGCGTTATTCCCTTTGTGATTTCTATGGTCCTGCAGTAACCCCGTCTGCGTGCCTCAGTTTCCCTGGGCATTTCCCACGGAGAGGCTGGCAGCTGCGCGAGGCGCTGCCCTTGCTAACCTGAGCCGGGAGGGGGGCGACCAGGTGCCGCCTTCTCCCCGGGAAGCCCCACAAAAGCCGAGCCTGGGGACCCAGCTGCTGGGTGTGTGGGTTAGTCTGGCCTGGCTTGGGGGGCACGGCCCTGGGCCCCGGGTCCCCTCCCAAGCTGGGCTGTACTGGCTGCTCCTGCTTCCTGGCTGACAAGTCTGCTGTGCGCTGTGTCCCTGTCGCCTCCTAAACCTTCAGTTCTCCCTGCCTGCCGGGAGTTGCATCTCCCTGCAGTTGTGGGGGGCCGGGCCTGGTGACTCCCCCACCTCTCAGTGACAGGGTAGTGAGTCTGTGTGTGCTGCCCCCACCCCCGCATCATCCTCACAGCTCCCACTGGCCCGAAACTGGCCCTGCACCCCCCCGACCTTGCCCCCCTCCAGGAACTAACCTCCCCC